AATGCGCGTTCTCTATTGGCGTGGAAAGCCCCCACGCTGCCGTAGGCCAGGCGCAGCTCCTCCACCTGAGCAGGGGAGAGGGTGGGTGGGTGCCCAGACCCCGGCTGGGCAACGGGGCAAAGCGGGGCCAGCAGTGAGCCCGCAGAGCTGGGGGCCTGGCTTGGCCTCCAGCTGAGCTCTACCAACTCAGGCCACGATGGCAATCACCCCCCCACCCCATCCAGCCCCAGCACTACCTCTCACCGACGCCCAGGGGAAATACCTGCTTGGAGACGTCTGTCAGGAGATCCGGGGAGGAACGGCACTGCCTCTCATCGTAGCGGGATGCATAGTGCTTCCTGAAAGGCCAAGAGCATGGGTGGGTGTGTGGCCAGTAGGGTGGTCCCCCCTGCCCAGGCACTGCCCCCTCGCTGCCCTGCGGTACCTCTCGAAGGGCAGGCTCTTCATCTTTGCCTTCCTGCCATGCTCCAGCAGCTGCCGCTGAGTCCTCCCACTGCAGCAAGGGGGGAGAGGTGTGAGCCGCACCGACAGCCCCAGCCCTGGGCATCCCCGCATCCCGAGGCGGGCGAGGGGACACGGCAGGAGCAAGGCAGTGGCCTCATCAGGAGAAGCAGATCGTGGGCATCATCTCCTTGCATCCAGCCAGGTCTAATAGAAGGGAGACATCCCCACACCCTTCCTGGCCTCATGCAGTTTGGTTTTCCCCCCTGGGACTTTACCTGTAGCGGAAACTGGAGCCCTTGCTGCACAGAAGGGCTTTAGGCTTTGACTTGGGCTCTTCAGACAGCCTGAAGAAGGCATGGTACTCCACGCATGTCTTCCAGAAAGCCTTGCAGGTGTCCCGGCTCGCCATGGTGAACTCCAACGTGTCCTTGCACAGTGCCTGCACGGATGGAGACAAGCGAGCCGGCATCAGGGGCGCAGGGCCAGGCTCTGCTGCTTGCCCTCCTGACCCCCGAAAGGATCACACTGGGCTGCCGGCAGCTCCAGCCCCTGGGGACATGGGGGTGACACATGCCATGCTCCAAGGGGGAAGGAGAATCACCCCTGAGCAACAAAAATGGATTTTATTCAGAATCGAGGACTTTGTATGGCCGATCCTCAGTCCACAGCTGCCCGCAGCGCAGTACTTACAGAGACGTTTGCATGGAGCTTGATGAGAAAATGCTTCCTCTTGAAACTCAGTTTGCGAATTTTGGACCAGTTGAAGGTGTTGATCTTTGTATTGCCCTGCAAGGATGGACACAGCGGTTACAGCGGGAGGGGGGGAGTGAGGATTGCAGAAATACGGTGGGCCAAGACCTCGGCTTGTAGGACACCACACAAGACCCCGGCATTGGCTCTCACTGCTGCAAAGCGCTGGGAAGGGGTGCCAGGATTTGGTGGGTGACCATCAGTTGGTCCCAGAAGTGGGAATTGAGGTTAAAGGCTTAACTCTGCTCACTGAACCTATTTGTACAACTCTAGGATGCCAAGACAAACCTCACAGAGGTCAAGGCACGGAGTCCCATCTGTCCCAGCTCGAACGTCACATGAGTTAATGCAGGATCAGCCCCCCAAAAAAAGAAGACAGAGCCTCTTCTCCTTTGCTGGGAAGTGTAGCAGAGCTCAGCTCACTCCCATGCCTTTAGACTCAGCTTAAGCAGGCTGCAAGCGTGCCTTACCCCTCATTATCACTACACATCAATTTAGAGGCAGCCGCCCAACACTGGTGTCACGGCAGGACCGGGTAAAGCTGTGTTACTCCACGCTGTGGCACCGAGACCCTCTCAGCTTTCTGGGAGAGCCCAGATGTTAATGGGCTCACAGATGCTCTAATCATGCATGAGGGGTGTTTATGGTTCTGAATAAATAACCGGGTCTGGCAGCGCTAATTATGAGCAGCAGACCCGCAGTTAGGATGGGGTTTTTTTTCCCCTGCTCTGGCAAGATGTTCCCAGGTTGAAATTAGCCGGTGTGGGAGGCAGGCGCTGCTTCACGCCGGCTGCGAGGAGCTCTGTATTTATTCTGCAGCTACGCCGTGATTACAGCGTTATGTAATTGCGCAGACGTGAGGTGGCTATTTTCGCTGGAAGATTACACAGTGAACACGTGTGACGTGGCGGTGTGACCCGTGGTGCTTACACGGCCGCGCTCACC